TTGCATTGGCCGGTCGCATCCGCAGCGGATGATGCTGACACCCTCGGTGCGGCCCCCTCCCCCGGGGCCGAGCGCTCCGCTTCCCCACGCCAGGCTGCCGACAGATGAGCACACAGCACGCGGACCAGAACATCAACAAGGCTATTTTATTACTTCCTTATTTATTTATTTTTTTGCACACTAATTAATAAATAAACTCCTGCACCGGAAAAGAAAAAAAAAAGGCAGCAAGCCAGAATCCAAACATCCTCTCGGTTGCCATTTGGTTATGTAAGAAGGAGGAATTAAGGCTAGTTGGCGGTAAAGAATTCCTCCGATGCCACGCTCCAAATCAGAGCCCCTGCAAGGCCTTAAATCAAAAGGGAAAGCGGGCACCAGCAGCAAGCACAGAAAGTGGGGCAGAGTTCTGTCAGCAGCTCACGTAATGCTCCTGCTCCTAAGGGGACGATTGTCACATGTCGCAGAATTAGGCCCCTCTGAAAGCCACCAGCCCTCCACACCCCCTCCTAAGGCCACCGCCCCCCCTCCCCCCGCCTCCCCATTCACTTTCTGAGCAGTGCCGGGCTCCCAGGCCCCCGCCTCTACCCACCGTGGCCAGGGGTGCTGGGGCAGGGAGCAGACACCTGCCCCCAAGGTACAGGGCCACCAGAGTCTCCTCACCCAGGAATTTAGGATTGGGATGGAGAAAGGGAAAATATATCTATGAAGAGCAGAGGCCGTTCGGTGTAAACAGGGGAGCTATGGAAGGCCGTAGGCCTGAGGAGGCAGAGGGAGCAGTCTGCGAGCAGAAAAGGCCAAGGGAAGGAGGGAGAGAGGGAAGAGAGGAAGGGGGAGACCAAGCATAAAATGCTGCTAGCACTGAGAGGGGCAGGCCGCAGGTATTCTGCTTATGCTCGCGGCTGCCTTCTCGGCCGCCTTTCTGAGCCCCACTGCAGCTCCCCGCCCGCCCCCCATCTTCCGTAACAATAATCCCTGCCTTCTGGTTCGCCAGGCACCTGTGACCGCTAAACTTCTGAAGTCCAATGAGGTCGAAACTTCTGTTGCTTGGAGTCAACGGGCTTCTAAATAATATGCCTTCAAATCAAAGCTTCGTTTCTCATTTTACTTTAAAAACATAGATTTTGGGGGGGGCTTCTGGGTGGCTCAGTCGTTAAGCGTCTGCCTTCGACTCAGGTCATGATCCCAGGGTCCTGGGATGGAGCCCCACGTTGGACCCTCTGCTCAGCGGGAGGCCTGCTTCTCCCTCTCCCACTCTCTCTGCTTCTGTTCCCTCTCTCGCTGTCTCTCTCTCTCTCTCTCTCTGTCAAATAAATAAATAAAAAGATTTTTAATTTATTTGTCAGAGGGAGAGAGCACAAGCAGGGGGAGTGGCAGGCAGAGGAGGAAGCAGGCTCCTCACTGAGGAGGGGAGCCTGATGTAGGGCTCGATCCCAGGACCCTGGGATCATGACCTCAGCCGAAGGCAGACGTTTAACCGACTGAGCCACCGAGGCCCCCTAAAAACATAGATTTTATTTTTTAGAGTTCACAGCAAAATTGGGAGGAAGGTACAGAGAGTTCCCATATACCCTCTCTCCCCGCCACATGAACAGCACCCCCACTTAACATCCCCCACCAGAGCTCACATTTGTTAAGCTGATGGACATACATTGACACATCATAATCACCCAGAGTCTGTAGTTTACCTTAAGGTTTATTCTTGGTCTTGTACAGTGTTGTACATTCTATGGGTTTGCACAAATGTATAATTGTTACTGATCGACCTGTCACAGCCACTCACTCAGGAAACAAACGGGTGAGCCCTCGCACAGCCCTGGCCACCTGCTCCGTCCAGGGGGATCCTGGGGAGATTGGGGGCTGGACAGGTTTGCCAACGCCCTTGCCAAACAAACTCGGATAAATTCGCCGCAAGAGAAGTCAATAACTCCAGAGATGAGGGTTTGGAAGGGAGAAAGGGAGAAATTTATTTCGGTTGCCAGCAATGGGGGGTGGTGGCAGGCTCAAGCGACCTCTCCACCTGCAAGATGGACACCTAGAGTTTTGTAAAGAGAGGTTTGGGGGATATGTGCAAGACAGCAGGCAGGGAGCGCGTGATCACACGTGGGGGTCAGCATGTGTTCAGCCCATGATCATGGGCCAGGAAGAGGACGTGTGGGGTGTGGCCTCCGAGGCATTCCGTCGGTATCAGAACTTTTCTGGTCTGGTGGTTGGAACGCTCCAGTCATTGCAAAACATTTTCGTCAATGCCTCAAGAAAGTGTGATAAGAAATAAGCACAATGGGTTTTAGTTAGAGCCTGAGTTAAGCGGGCTTGTCTATTTCTGGTTTTAATTGGCGGGGTCTATAGTTGAGCAACAGGGCTCACTGACATAATGACACGTATCCACCATGATGGTATCATACACACTAATTGCATTGCTCTAAAAATCCTCTGCACTCTGCCTATTCTTCCCTCCCCCTAAGCTCTGGCAACCACTGATCCTTTTACTGTCTCCATAGTTTCGTCTTTTTCAGAATGTCATAGAGTTGGACTCATGCGGTATGGAGCCTTTTCAGATTGGCTTCTTTCACTTAGTAATTCAATTTGTTTTTTTTTTATTAGTTTCAGAGATTGAGTTCAGTGATTCATCCATTGCATAGAACACCCAGTGCTCATTCCATCAAGTGCCCTCCTTAATGCCCATCCCCCAGGGACCCCATCCCCTCCCACCCCCCCCGCAATCTGCTTTGATGGTAGAAGTTTCCTGTTGACATTTTCCCACCCTCTCTCTCGTTTGGCGGACACACTACGTCATACCTTCCAACTGAGGGAAAAAGCTTATTTGGGGCCTCCCAATAAATTGGAATCAAATATTTTCCCTTTGGGAAAAGGGAAAATCACAGCAACTGAGTCCTGGAACCTAGAAATCCCAGCATTTCTCGTTTTAGCCACAGTCCAACAGGTCTAAAGCGTTCTCTGACTTCATTTTCCAGAGCAGGGATGTTTAAGACCTGGGGACACGTGTTCTGAATGGTGGCTGCTTCACCCAAGGATTGGGCAAGCCCCTGAGCCTGGCATCCATGGAACTGTCCCTAAGGGCTGCTCTCCTCACTCCGGGCGGCACAGTCCCATCTGCAGTAAGTAGATGCCCAATAATGCTCTGCATCGAGGCAAAACCATGAGGGCCTGTTTCAGGAGCACTTGCAAAGACTTTTGCCCCTTTTCCCCGGAGGTCAAGAGCATCATGCTACTGACACCCTTAATCCCCACACTGACCTTGTGCCATTCTCCCATCACCTATAATAATGACAGCAATAGCAGGGGCCATTTACGGACTGCTAATTATATGCCAGGCACCTTGCTAAGCACTTTATACGCATTTATTTAATCCTCCCAACCTAATGAGGTCGTATCCCCCATTTTATAACCGAAGAAGCTGAGTCACAGGAAAATTGTTACACGCTCAAGATCACACAGCTTAGAAGTGGCCTACCCAGGATTTGAATCCAGAGAGTCTAGTTCCAGGGTTCAACGGTGACCCAGTGTGTTGTGATGGGGGAAGATATTAGTTATATGTTGCTGTGTGCATCAAATGACTTCAAAACTTAGTGGCTTAAAATAACAGACAGTTATCATGGCACACAGTTTCTGAGGGTCAGGGATCTGGGTGTTCTGGCTCAGAAGGTCTTGGGGGGTAAGGCTGCCATCAGGCTATACTCTCCCAAGACTTGACTGAACCTAGAGGATCTGCTTCTAAGCTTATTCGTGTGGCTGTTGGCAAGAGGCCTGAGTTCCTTACCACATTGGCTTCTCCCATAGGGCTGCTCTGGACAAGGCTTCCGCCAGTGTTAGGTACTGAGAGGGAGAAAGAGACAGATACTGAGAGATGAGCCACTCTACCTTTTATGACCTAGTCTTCCAATCACACATCATCACTTCTGCCTTCTATTTATTAAGCCAACCCACACTCAACGAGAGGATCACACAAAGGCATGTATACCAGGAAGCAGAGATCACTGGAGGCCATCTTGGAGGCTGGCTACCACAGCTAAGCAGGAAAAGGACCTTGCCCTCCAAAAATCCTAAAGCCTGCTTTAGAGGTGATAGCAAAAAGCTACCGAGCCCTGTGCAAATGTTTGTCGCCACTCAACGCGCCCTTCCCCTGTGTCTGACACATTTCACCAGGCACTATGGAGAGAGGTAGACTCATCTAGAACATGAGCTCTGTGAGGTCAGGCTCTCCATCTTCGACAACATACGGTTGTCAGGCTTCCATGAATATATATATATATTTTTAAAGATTTTATTTATTTATTTGACAGAGAG